TTTTCTATGACATCTGTCATAGATCTCTTACTTACTCCACGATTTATAGGTATTTCTTTCGATTTTTGTTGGTCTATTCGTATTATGGCTGTCTGATATCGGTATAGACTGGAAATGATTCTCACGTCTTCGTCATCTAATTCTGTGTTCTGCAGTATTTTTGCCATTCTTCGGTGTTGTACTTTGTTGAAAGCTTTTTCGAAGTCGACTAGATATATGAATACGTCGCAATTGACAAATCCACATCGTTCGATTAGTGTTTGTACAGTAAATAATGCTTCTCTGGCGCCAAAGCCTTTTCTGAATTCCAATTGGTTTTCAGCTATTTTATCATCTAGCTTTTTATAGATACGTTCGTGTATCACTCGTAGCAAAACTTTTAGAATATGGTTCATCAAGCTAATTGTCATGTGATCTTCACACTTCATTGCGTTTGATTTTTTGGGTATTGGAATGAATATTGATATTAACCATTCTTTCGGAATCTCTCCCGTATACTAAATGTCATTAAATAATTCTATTGGTGTGCCCATATGATTTTTTGTTAATATTCTTAAGATTTCTGTAGGTATTTCATCTAGTCCCATGGCCTTCTCATTTTTTATACGTTTTAGCGCTTTCTCAATTTTGTCTTTGGTGATTGGTGGCTTATTTCTTCCTGTTGGTTCAATGACCTCAATTTCCTCGTCGTCTTCGAATAGCTCTTTGATGTATTCTTCCCATCTGTTTATTCTATCTGTACATTCCGTTATTATCTTGTTATTTTCATCCATGACATTTCCGATATTCCGATACCCTTCTTCTTGTATATACCAACTGTCTCTTTGATATTCCGGTGTATATTAAAACTGTCATGTTGTTTATATAACCTTTCTATTTCTTCACACTTTTCTGATAGCCACAGTTCCTTAGCTTCTTTGATTTTCTATTTGATTATTTTATTAATTTTTGTGTACTGTTGTTCGTTTTTATTCTTGTGTGCCCTTCTTTCCCTCATAAGTTCTTTTATCTCTTGTGTGATCCATTGTTTATTTTTAGATGATGTGTCTTCTTGTAGTTTTTGTTTTGTGATATTTCTCAAGATCTCTACTTTCTTCCATTTATCTGTTGCTGCCTTTCTACTACCTGAACTTCTTTGTGTACTTGTTCTTTGATTTGTTGGTATATCAGTTTCTTTTAGTTTTCTCAGATTGATTCTCGGTGTTTTGGCAGTTGTTTTTAACTTTTTTAACTTGAGTTTCATATTTGCTAGAACTAAATTGTGGTCACTTGTTATATCTGCTTCTGGGTACGCTTTTGCCGATATTATGGCATTTTGGAATTTTTGATTTATTATTATGTAATCTATTTGGTTTCTTATAATAATTTCACCATCATCTCTAGGTGCTTTCCATGCATATATTCTTCGATTTGAAAGTTTATACCACGTGTTTTTGATAATGAGTTTATTATCTTTGCAAAACTGAACTAGTCTTTCACCTCTTTCATTACGTATTCCCAGTTCGTGTTCTCCTACTATTTCTCCATCTCTTCCTTTCCCTAGCTTCGGGTTGAAGTCACCTAAAATCAAATTTACTTCTTTTTTAGTTTCATTGAATGTTTTAAGTAATTGCAGGAGCTGTTTTCTTCCTCCTCTGTGCTATCAGATGTTGGTGCATACATTACAATGATGTTTATGTTGCACGGTATAGCGTTTAATTTCAATAGTGCCATTCTATCCTTTATTCATTTACATTTTGTTATTCATTTATACATTCTCATTTGGCACAATTACATCCAAGGGATTAGATATATTCTTTAATATCTGGTTCAAATATCTTTTTCAAACAATGTTTTGATCTATTAACTTACAAAAATAAATTCTATCACCTAAAATATCATCAATCTCACATTCCACCCAACCTTTATTTTTTTTTTATTTGGGTTCCTATAATCTCTACATCGGAACTTTCTCCCCTACTTTAAAATGTACATCTCTTTTCCCTTTATAATCCTGTCCTGGCTTATTTGCTTTTTCATTAACTTGCACACCTTTTGGTGCTAATAAATCTAAACGTGCTCTTATCTTTGACTTAAAAATATTATTTGAGGGAGACAACCCTGTTGTAACATGAACTGAATTTCTGTAAGAGAAATGATATCAACACAATATTGTATTTAATGAAAAATTATTGTTTTTTCATCTAAAAGTGCTTTCTTTAAACCAGATTTAACAGATTTTACCGCATTTTCCGCAAATCCATTTAATGTTGGGTGAAAAGGTGGTGAAGTCAAAAATTTTAAACCATTATTAGTTAAAAAATTACAAATTTTTTCAGAAGTAAACTGACTTCCATTGTATGTTTCAACAATTCGCGGCAAACCAAATCGGGAAAAACATTCTCTAAAACGATCTATGGTAGCTTCTGTATCAGTAGAACTAATTGTGAAAGCTTCAGGCCACTTTGAAAAAGTAGATATCAATAATTATGAGTATCATTTTTCCTTTATAGGTCCCATAAAATCAGCATGAATTCTTTCATAAAAATAAATAGATAATTGAGTTTTGATTAATTTAGCTTTGGTATGCTCTGGTTTTAGATGTCCACAGACTTTACAACCATTTACTCCTTGTACTATATCAGAATCTAGGTTAGGCCACCAGAAGTGTGAACAGGCATTTGATTTCATTTTAATTAACCCTTCATGATTACTATGAAATTCCTCAAGCAATTGTTGTCTGGGGCCAGTGGGAATGACTGCTCGATAACCCCACATAATATTACACTTTTCTATTGAGAGTTCATTCTTTCTAATTAAGAAAGGTTTAAAAATTAAATTTTCGATATGCTTAGTAAACCCATATCTAATTAAATTATACACACTACCTAAAACTACATCTTTTCCTGTTTCAGAACGTAATGAATTTAAATCAACTGGTAGTAAGTTTTCCACTAAATTGATATATTAAAAATTTAATTGTCTCCAATACATAGTGACTTGACAAACGACAGTACCTATTTTAAACTAAACACAGAAATACAAATGTAACAAAACGCAATTATTCTTATTCTTAAAACATGAACCTCTTACAGGTATAAACTCCGCACGTTCCAAGTGCCTATTTTTAATTGTATGTTGGATGGCTGGTCTTATAGATGTTTTTCTCAATACATCACTGGGATTTCGCTTGTTGACGACCTGAGAGGTCCTGTGATCTTTTAGGTTTGTTCCTCTCCTACCAGATCTCGGCTTCCGATTTCCGTGATCAGTAATGTCTACTGATTTTGTTCCCATTTGCTATTTACTGTTTTATTTGTTTAATTACTGTTATTTACTACTGACAGACCTGGCAAATTCAGACGAAATATTAAATTAATAAAATATAAATTCATATCATTTATAGTAAATTTAATAATTATATATACTAAATAAGATGTTTAAAAATATTAATTGTATTTATATGAAATTATTTCCCGCTATTTTGTGTCGTTTCCTCGGTATTTTACGATATAAAAAGAAGTAATACAACGTCAGTGTAGAATTTTCGCTTCAAAAGAAGTAATAAAAATTTCACAATTTAAGATTTTTTTTAGAGTGCACTCTGGAATGTATTTTTAAACTTCCCCTTTGTTTAAATTGCTTAAAACAAATTTCACACTGGTAAGGTGTTTCTCCAGTATGACATCTGATATGATGTTTTAAAGTACTGTGCTGAGAAAACAGCCTAAAACAAAATTCACACTTGAATGGTTTTTCTCCAGTGTGCACTCTTAAATGACTTTTCAAATCATATGTACGAGTAAACTGCTTCAAACAAATTTCACACTCGTAAGGTTTTTCTCCACTGTGCAATCTCATATGTAGTTTCATATTACTTTGTCGAGAAAACTGCTTATAACAAATTTCACATGTGTAAGGCATTTCTCCAGTGTGCAGTCTAAAATGTGTTTTTAAAGTATTTTTTCTTGCGAACTGCTTAAAACAAATTTCACACTTGAATGGTTTTTCTAAAGTATGCACACTTAAATGACTTTTCAAATCCCATGCACGAGTAAACTGTTTAACACAAATTTCACACTTGTAAAGATTTTCTCCAGTGTGGGTTTTTATATGATGTTTAAGATAACGTGCTACAGTGAACTGTTTAAAACAAGTTTCACACTTGTACGGTTTTTCTTCAGTGTGCGTTATTATATGTTCTCTCAAATGATGTGCTAGACTAAACTGTTTAAAACAAACTTCACACTTGTAATGTTTTTCGCCAGTATGTGCTCTGATATGATATTTCAAATTACTTGCTGTAGTAAAGTACTTAAAACAAATTTCACATGGGTAAAGTTTTTCTCCAGTGTGCACTTTCATATGTGTTTTCAAAGAACCTGTTTGTCCAAACTGTTTAAAACAAATTTTGCACTTGTACAGCGTTTCTCCAGTGTGCTGTATCATATGTTTTTTCAAAGTACATTTTTGGCTAAATTGCCTAAAACAAATTTCACATTTTAATGTATATTCTTCAACAGGTAGACTTATATGTTGTTCTTTATTAGATGTATGTACGGGTATTGTTTTCGTACTTTCCAATGTGTTCTCCTCTTGGGGAAAGCCTAAAATAAAAGTTAACATATATTTTTTTTCCAAAAAATATGGCTGAAATATACTAAATTTGACACAGTCTAAATTTTATTTAGTTCTTTATGGGAAAGCTCAAATTCTAGACAAAAAGAATAAAAGAGAAGATACATTTTTTTTACAATAGAGCAGAAATACGATTACAATAATAGTACAAGGATATTATTAAACTAAAATAGCAAACCTTTTAGAAAAACTAATAGTGTATTCAAACAACAAAGTTTCATCACTAAAAATAAACTGTGAGTACATCACAGAACCTCAGCAACTATTAGCTGGACTTAACTCATGAAGGCGACTCTGCAAATGAAAAATGCAATTGAGATTAGGAACATGGAACACCTGAACCCTGTATCTACCTGGAGCATTCACGTCTTTCACAAAAGAAAAAAATTAAGCCTACAGAAACATGATTACCCGACGAACTAGAACAACTGCAGAAAATTACCAAACAAAGAAAAGAAAAGCGGATACACAAAAGAGAAAAACGAAACTGTGAGAGAAAGAATTCAGAGCATTATATAAGAAAGTTAACATTAACAGAAAATAATTCAAGGCAACAACAAGTCATCTCAGAAGTCAGAATGGCGACCTAGGAACAACAAGGAAAGATGCATTGAATAGACGGTTGGAATACCCATCTATTCAATAGATTTATCTGTATGCCATAGAAAAAAATATTTTAAATAAAATTGTAGCTGAGATAATTTTGAACAAATATGTTTACTAGACTTTTTTGTGTAGAATGAACTGTTCTCTCAGATACAACGCTTGAAGCGACCGGAGATATTGAATGTCAGTTACGCGCGCGAAATCAATTTTAAATACTATAAATATGTTGATGGATTCGACCGTTACTTGATGGAAATTCATTTTATGTAACAATAAAACACTGAAAACTTTGTTTTCAAACTTCCATAAAATTTATTTTAAATATTATCACTACAGCTGTTTCGGCTGATTGCCTTTCTCAAGTGATCTATTTTGGCTTGGGTTTACAAATTTATAGTCTCTAATGAAATAGGTTGAGGAGGGGAGAACTGTTTGTCTCAAGTTGGTCATTCAGAATTATATCTGTGTTTTTTAATTTGTTGATTTCCATAGATTCTAACAAAGATAGCTTAAGGCCTTTATTTTGAATGTGAAGAATTTTAAATTTGTCATTAAAAGAGTGATTATGATCTAGAAGGTGAAGTGCGTATGTCGAATCTGTTTTTCTATTCTTGAAAGCCCTTTTATGTTCTGCTATTCGTTTATCAAAGTTTCTACCAGTTTGACCGATGTAAGTTTTTGGACAGTCGCCACATTGGAGTTTGTATACACCACTATTTAAGTGTTTGTTATTTTGGCTCTTGTTATTTTTAATATATTTGCCTAGGTTGTTATTTGTTCGGAAAGCTGGTGTTATTCCTTTCTTTTTTATGTGTTTGGCAATTTTTGTTGTTATTTTGCCTGTATATGTAATCGAGCAGAAGGTACTGGGTTTTTTCTCTGGTGGTGGAAATACTAATTTCAGGGCTTTCTTGTGTAGTTTTTGATTTAACATTTTATTAATTGTTTGTTCGTTGTATCCGTTGTTTACTGCTATTTGTTTAATTATATTTAATTCTGTCTCAAAGTTGTCTTTTGACATCGGAATTTCTGTTAATCTATGTAACATACTATGATAAGCTGCCAGTTTATGTTGTGTTGGATGGGATGACGAATTGTGTATAGTTGTGTCAGTATGGGTAGGTTTATGAAATATGGAGAAGTCATGTTTGTTTTGAAGTCTGCTAATTTTTAAATCTAAAAAATTTATGGATTGATTTTGTTCTGTTTCTATTGTAAATTGAATATGACTATGAACTGAATTAATATATGATAAAAATTGGTCGAGTTGCCTGTTAGTTCCTGTGAAACATACCAGTACGTCGTCTACGTATCTCCACCAATATAAAAACTGTTTGAATACGGGATGTTTTGAAATCTTTGTCTCTAGATGATCCATAAAAATATCTGATAACAATGGGCTTAGAGGATTACCCATTATAAGTCCTGCACTGTTATTTGTATATATTTTATTATTAAATTCAAAGTAGTCCTGGTTTATGCAAACTTCAAGAAGATGTAAAATTTCAGATGTAATTATTGGATTTGTACTATTTTGGTCTAAAAGGTTTTTTACTAGAATAAAAGTTTCTGTAGGGGGATACTAGGAAAAAGATTTTTTACGTCAAATGAAATTAATCTGGAATTGTTAGGTAATTGAAAATGTTGTATTTTATTAACTAGTTCTATTGTATTTTTTATGGTAAATTTAGGTGAAAATTTAGTGTGGTCTAAAATAATCTCTAACAGTTTTTTTGAAATTTTATATGAGGGAGCTGTATAAAAAGAAACTACAGGTCTTATTGGGTGATCCGGTTTGTGTAGTTTAATGAAAGAATATAATTTAGGAGGCTGTGGGTTCATAATATTGAGGTATTTCTGTTCTATTGGATTTAGTATTGATTTTGAATTTTCTAACGCTAGCTTAATTTGTTTTTGATATTTTTCTGTCGGGTCTTTGAGTAAAGTTTCAATATTTTGATTATTTAAGAATTCTATTGTTTTGTTATTATATTCTATTTTATCTATAGCAATAGTAGTGTTACCTTTGTCTGCTTTTGTAAACACGATGTTGCTTTCTATTGATTTATTTTTAATTGAAATTGCTGTTTTATTCTCTTTGTAACAGGAATTCTTAGTTTCACTACACACATCTCTAATAGATTTAGCAATTATACTTTTTTCGATATTGTTAGCAGTTTTGTTTAACGCTACTTCAACGCTATTATAGATTAAATAATATAGAATTTGACATCCTAGATTCTAACGTGAGAATTAATATAGATAATATAATAGATAAAAAATTCAATACACAGTGTAAAAAACTAAATAATCTAATTTCCAATAGTAAAAAACCCAATATTCATTATACAAAAAGTTTTTCGAACCATACTTTTTTCAATAGATTTATAAATTTAACAGATACTAAATTTAGTAACAGCGAGATACAACTTTTAGAGAAAGGATTTAAACACAACTTGCCCCAACATAATAATGAGAGAACTTTAGAATATTTAGGTGTAGAATGTGAAGTAGCGTTAAACAAAACTGCTAACAATATCGAAAAAAGTATAATTGCTAAATCTATTAGAGATGTGTGTAGTGAAACTAAGAATTCCTGTTACAAAGAGAATAAAACAGCAATTTCAATTAAAAATAAATCAATAGAAAGCAACATCGTGTTTACAAAAGCAGACAAAGGTAACACTACTATTGCTATAGATAAAATAGAATATAATAACAAAACAATAGAATTCTTAAATAATCAAAATATTGAAACTTTACACAAAGATCCGACAGAAAAATATCAAAAACAAATTAAGCTAGCGTTAGAAAATTCAAAATCAATACTAAATCCAATAGAACAGAAATACCTCAATATTATGAACCCACAGCCTCCTAAATTATATTCTTTCATTAAACTACACAAACCGGATCACCCAATAAGACCTGTAGTTTCTTTTTATACAGCTCCCTCATATAAAATTTCAAAAAAACTGTTAGAGATTATTTTAGACCACACTAAATTTTCACCTAAATTTACCATAAAAAATACAATAGAACTAGTTAATAAAATACAACATTTTCAATTACCTAACAATTCCAGATTAATTTCATTTGACGTAAAAAATCTTTTTCCTAGTATCCCCCCTACAGAAACTTTTATTCTAGTAAAAAACCTTTTAGACCAAACTAGTACAAATCCAATAATTACATCTGAAATTTTACATCTTCTTGAAGTTTGCATAAACCAGGACTACTTTGAATTTAATAATAAAATATATACAAATAACAGTGCAGGACTTATAATGGGTAATCCTCTAAGCCCATTGTTATCAGATATTTTTATGGATCATCTAGAGACAAAGATTTCAAAACATCCCGTATTCAAACAGTTTTTATATTGGTGGAGATACGTAGACGACGTACTGGTATGTTTCACAGGAACTAACAGGCAACTCGACCAATTTTTATCATATATTAATTCAGTTCATAGTCATATTCAATTTACAATAGAAACAGAACAAAATCAATCCATAAATTTTTTAGATTTAAAAATTAGCAGACTTCAAAACAAACATGACTTCTCCATATTTCATAAACCTACCCATACTGACACGACTATACACAATTCGTCATCCCATCCAACACAACATAAACTGGCAGCTTATCATAGTATGTTACATAGATTAACAGAAATTCCGATGTCAAAAGACAACTTTGAGACAGAATTAAATATAATTAAACAAATAGCAGTAAACAACGGATACAACGAACAAACAATTAATAAAATGTTAAATCAAAAACTACACAAGAAAGCCCTGAAATTAGTATTTCCACCACCAGAGAAAAAACCCAGTACCTTCTGCTCGATTACATATACAGGCAAAATAACAACAAAAATTGCCAAACACATAAAAAAGAAAGGAATAACACCAGCTTTCCGAACAAATAACAACCTAGGCAAATATATTAAAAATAACAAGAGCCAAAATAACAAACACTTAAATAGTGGTGTATACAAACTCCAATGTGGCGACTGTCCAAAAACTTACATCGGTCAAACTGGTAGAAACTTTGATAAACGAATAGCAGAACATAAAAGGGCTTTCAAGAATAGAAAAACAGATTCGACATACGCACTTCACCTTCTAGATCATAATCATTCTTTTAATGACAAATTTAAAATTCTTCACATTCAAAATAAAGGCCTTAAGCTATCTTTGTTAGAATCTATGGAAATCAACAAATTAAAAAACACAGATATAATTCTGAATGACCAACTTGAGACAAACAGTTCTCCCCTCCTCAACCTATTTCATTAGAGACTATAAATTTGTAAACCCAAGCCAAAATAGATCACTTGAGAAAGGCAATCAGCCGA